ATGACTCACTCGTTTAAGACAGTGACTTACCGCCACCTACTGGCTGTTTTAGTTTCATATTTAAACATACAATTTAATTGATTCCATCATTTCATATTTCTATATTCAAATGTTTTATTTTTAACATTAATCTCATTACGACTTTTATGCAATTGTAATTGCAGTGTAAAAACATTCTCCTCTGTATTAAGATTTTGACTTTTAATGACTTAATGACTTTTGTTAATTTTATTTTACTGATAACAGCCATAGTGCCTTATTATTATAATAACTGAGTAGTTTATCGATTAATATTAAGAACTGGACATGCAGTATATGATGCTGATCGCCCCTGGAAATCAATTTATATAATACAATACAATATATAAATGTGGAAATAAATAAAAGTGGAAATAAATAAATGTATAAATAAAAAATGTGTGAAAAAAATACAATTATACATAAATAAGGAAATAAAAGTATAAATACTCATTTCTTTGTATTTTTTTTTACATTTCTTTGTATATTTATTTATGTATTTTTGCTTTTTTGCATTTCTTCGTATATTTATTTATTTATGTATTTATTTATTTTTAATTAAGTCAGCTTTGGCATTCCATACTAGAGAAGACATCTATCCATAAAATTCCTTTTTCTTCTTCTTTGTGCTGCGTGGTGATTGGAGACCAACAGCCAATCACAATTGACCTCTAATTTTCCGATTGGTTGATTTTGTGGCACACTTGTAACGCTGTTGCAAGTTGAGCGCGCGTGTGTGTCAATAGTTGAGCGCTCGTGTGTATCAAGAGTTGAGCGCGCGTGTGTGTCAATAGTTGAGCGCGCGTGTGTATCAAGAGTTGAGCGCGCGTGTGTATCAAGAGTTGAGCGCGCGTGTGTATCAAGAGTTGAGCGCGCGTGTGTATCAAGAGTTGAGCGCGCGTGTGTATCAAGAGTTGAGCGCGCGTGTGTCAAGAGTTGAGCGCGCACAGAATTAAGAGGTTGAGAGAGAGAGAGAGGGACTTGACAGGAGCGCAGAGAATAAGTTTGTGAGAGAGCACCTGAGTAAACTGCGTGAGAGGAGTTATTATTGCACGTTAATATGGATAATAGCAAATACATTTATTGAGCACGGAATCGTTTTTTCTTTGCTCAAACGAAATTTTTTTTTGCGATTGTTAATTTCTGTTCAAAATATAATGCAATGTGCTTGCAAAATATAGTTCTCTGTGCTCAAAACTTACAATTACTCGCTCAGGAATGAGGCACATATATAACGCCATAGTTATTGGGACACAAATATTGCCATGTCATATAAGTCATGATCCTCTGTCTCTGTTGCTGAAGCAGAACAGGTATTCCTGCATTGATGGAGTCTCATGTATAAAACCCTGCGTTGGTTTTATTCAAAAACTGTGCCAATACACAAACATAAGATTCTGCCACCACAGTAACAGAATAGATAAAAGGGGCTGATGTAAACATTTCAGCACACTTGTCCCAATAAAGTACTAGAGCCAGCTAAACACACAGTCACACTAAACTGCCCAGGGGGGCAAACGTTCTTGCTTGGGTCAGTTTCAGACTACAGGTAGTGTTCAAGATTTACCCGTTCTCAAAGTGCTCTGAGAAGAACCCAATGAGGAGAGCTGAGCTGATGGGGTCCAAGAACCACCCATTCAAAACAAGCTGTTTGTGAACCCATTCCGCTCCAATCCATTGGGTTTGATCCAGTACAAACCGTCTGTCTCCATTCGGCAAGTGTACTTGCTCAAAGTGTGTTTTGCTTCCCTCTTGTTCAGAGGAGTCAAAACTCATGGTGTGTCTCAATCAGCTCCCTATAGATTCCTAGGTGGTGAACCAGTATATCGTGTTTACAAATTCGGGCACTGGTAATAGTAAAAAGAATAATAATAATTTGTTACATTTATACAGCACTTTTCTGGGTACTCAAAGCACTTAAAGGACAGTAATGACGCTGGCTCACTACACACTGACGACTCCATTTCCAGTGATGTGACAACGTCATTCATTTTCTGACATTACTTAAAATGTTATTTAAAGTACATTATGATAAATACTTTGCTTGTTATATATGTGTGCAATATTTTAGCCGGAAATAAATTATAAATGTTTGCTATATTATGTTCTTTACCCGTCTAGCGATGTATGTTTATGCTGACATAATAAAATAATGGTTTGTATTTTATAAAACATCTATGTGCATCTATAAATCATGGCTCACGTGATTTATGTTTCACACTTCAGAACTTCCGTTAAGGGAACATAGTGAGCGTCGATGCTCCCTGGTTTTCACGGTGCATTGTGGGACTTTTTAGGGAGTGAATGTTTCAGTGCCCTGGAAGGATTCTGTGATTGAGACAGACCTTAAAATGGCCGACTCCCTGACCGGTGAACTAGGGAGCTGATTGAGACGCATGCCGCGTGTGAAAACTGATAAATGCTGCCTTCGGAGGATGCATTTCAAGATCCCTTCATCTGATCGATTTTTGAAGGCAGCATA